CTGCCCACATCCCTCCAGGTCGAAAATGACCCATCTACCACCACTCTCTGGGTGCGGCACTCCAGCCTACACAGTCAGTTGGGTCGCCAACACCACAGTCCCCCAGTTTCTTAATGAGAACGGGGTGAGAGACAGGTGTCGAAGGCCTTCCCAAAGTCCAGTAAGACTATGTCCACTGCTACCCCTGCAGCTAAGGATTTGGTGATCTGGTCATAGAAGGCCACCAGGTTGGTCTGACAGGACCTGCCATTAATGAACCTGTGTTGGTTGCCCCTAAGCATCATCTCCCCTGCTGGCGCCTTGTGGACTTGTGCCAGGATAATTCTCTCAAAAAGCTTACCCAGGATTGAGGTAAGACTAACTGGCCTATAGTTTCCCAGGTCCTCCTTCCTCCCCTTTTTGAAGATGGGAACCACGTTGGCCCTCTTCCAGTCCTCTGGCACCACACCAGAGCACCACGAGTGCTCATAGAGTCGTGCCAGGGGTGCCGCAATGACCTCTGCTAATTCCCTCAGCGCTCTGGGGTGGAGATCGTCAAGACCAGCTGATTTAAATACATCCAGTTCTTCCAGAAGTTCCCCGACTAAATCCACTCTGACCCTTGGCCTGGGTGCACCCCCCCTGGGGCCTGAAGGGGTCTCGGTGGGGGGCTGATCCAGTCCTTGCTTAGGAAAATGGAGACAAAGAAATCGTTAAATAGGTTAGCTTTGTCATCTGGTGTGACAACCAGATTTCCTAGCATGTCCTGCAGAGGTCCCACATTACCCATTACCTTCTTTTTGCCCCCTATGCATTTAAAAAAGGACTCCTTGTTGTCCTTGGCTAGTCCCAGTTCAACCTCTGCCTTGGCCTTCCTGACTGCGCCCCCTGCATCTCCGAGCAACCGCAGTATAGTCCTCCCTGGTGATGGCCCCTCCCTTCCATTGCATGTACGCCTCCCTTTTAGCTAGGAGACATTCCTGGATGCTTTTGGTGAGCTATGGGGGCTTTTGCACCCTCTTGCCCCCTTTGATCCATGTTGGGATTACCTCCCTTTGGGCTTGGAGGATCGTCTCATTAAGGAGCAACCACTCTTCTTAGACCTGACCTCACTTTTTTGTCTGGAATGCTGGCACTCGAGCACCTTCCAAGGTAGGCGTTGTGAGGGTTTTCGACACTCCGACCAAAAAATGCTGCCTACCCCGATCTAGTTCAATCCCCTACTCAAAGCAGGACCATCCCCAACTCGATCATCCCAGCCAAAGCTTTGTCTACCTGGGTCTTAAAAGCTTCCAGGAATGGAGATTCTACAGCCTCTCCGGGAAACCTGTTCCAGTGCTTTGCTACCCTCCCAGTGAAAAAGTTTTTCCTAATATCCAACCTAAAATTCCCCTGCTGCAACTTAAGACCATTGCTCCTTGTTCTTCCATCTGCCACCACTGAGAGCAGTCTAGCTCCATCCTCTTTGAAACCGCCCTCCAGGTAGTTGAAGGCTGCTGTTAAATCCCTCCTCCCTCAGTCTTCTCTTCCCCAGACTAAATAAGCCGTTCCCTCGGTCTCTTGTCATAAGTACCCCTGCCCCCTAACCATTTTCAATGCCCTCCACCAGATTCTCTCCAATCTGTCTACATCCCTTCTGTAGCGGGGAGCCCAAAACTGGACAATACTCCAGATGCGGTCTCACCAGTGCTGAATAGAGGGGAAGAATTATTTCCTTTGACCTGCTGGCAATGCTCTTACTAATGCAGCCCAGTATGCTGTTAGCGTTCTTTACAATAAGGGCACACTGTTGGCTCATAGTCACCTTATTGTCTACTGTAACCCCAAGGTCCTTCTTTGAGGAGCTGCTGCTTAGCCAGCCAGTCCCCACCTTATATTGGTGCATGGGCTTATTCTGTCCTAAATGTAGGACTTTTAACTTGTCCTTATTGAACCTCATGAGTTTTTTCAGTCCAATCTTCCAATATGTCAAGGTCTCTCTGAATCTTATCCCTACCCTCCAGTGTATCTACTACTCCCCACAGCTTCGTATCATCTGCAAACTTGCTGAGGGTGTACTCCATTCCATCTTCCAAGTCATAGATAAAAAAATATTGAACAAGACAGGCCTGCAGACCATCCCCAGGGGAACTCCACTTAATACCAGCTGCTGACCAGACACAACTATATACACAAAGGGCATGCAAATTTACAGCTTACTTCTACACAGGCTAGAACTGCCCAGCCAAGATCTATTGTTTAACTCTGAACTAATTAAATACATGCATTCCAGGAATAATGCCACTGAAGTTAATGGAGTCAAACTAATTAAGACTGGTATGAAGTGATGTCCCCAAAAATCAGGCCCTCGATCCTCTAGGGAGGAGTTGAAAATTGAACTCCAGTGAAAGCCGAGTCAGTTGGCATTCTTTTCTGACTACTGCACACACTTTTCTGTATTTTTCAATATCTGCTTATTGTTCATAAATGCTTAATGAACCAAAGAAATGTAATTAAACTATTTGACACTGCATTCTTTAAGAGATGTTTGACACAAGTTGTTCTATAATTCAGTTTCTAATTCTCTAATCAACAGGTACTCTCTCAAATAAGTGAAATGAAAATTAAAACATACCTTTGTGTTTCTTCGTTTCTTCTAAACTCATCTGCATTGTCTTTTTAATATCATTTTCATCTTCACTGTCTGAAACAAATACAAAAAAAAAATATATTCATTCAGATTTATATGCTGCCCTCCCAAAATAAAGGTTGAAGACAGCTTAAAAAATGAAATAAAATCTGGGGTTTTCAACCTTTTTCGATCATTGCCCCCCACCAGGCAGCCAGATGCCCCCTGGCCGCTAAGCTAGAGGAAGGGTGGGGTTCACGTGACTGGATGCAGTGGCAGCAGCTGCCATGTGCAAGCTCTCCCTGCCCCCCCATGTCGGGTGGGTGGGTGATGCCTGCGAGGCCGTGTGGGATGGTGCATGGCAGCGCTGCATCCCCACGTGCCCACGCATACCCCCTAGGACCTTCTCAAGCACCCCAGGGGTACGCGTACCCCTCGTTCACAACCCTTGCAATAAATTATAAAAACAGTTATATATGTTAAAGACGTGTGAAAGATGTGTGTAATACATTCTCCAAATGCCCTAGAACTTAACTCTACCTGCTCAAAACCTGACCCTAACATCACTTTTAGAAGACGTCCAGGACCCAACATTGTGGGGGTGGGGGCTGACCGATTCTGTGGACAGATCATGGGGCCAGACACCATTTTCAAGGACTCATCATGACAGCACCCCACACCGCACATTTCCAAAGGCCTCTGTACCTAAGACACAAATAACCCGATAAGCACGAGTTGAGGGCTGTGTACATACTACTCAATATGCACATGCTCTGAGGGTGTTTGTGCACCTAAGTTGGGTCATGCAGAAGAGCCAAATACACTTATTATTTGGCCCTAACATATTTTCCTGCATCTCCTTCGAATAGCAACATCATTGATCCTTTCCCATTTCTAAAAATGCAGCTGGTATCAATCATAGGTCACAAGTCCCCAGAGATGCCAGAAATATTTTGCTGCATTTAGGCACAAGACACCTAACAATAGAATGGTCTCGCTCCAACCATTTGGCAAGATTAGTAGTCAATGCTGGAAAGGATCCAAAATATCTCTGGGTAGGAAAGCTACCCAAAGTATGGCCTTACCTTGAAAAAACTTGAAAGGCTGCAAGGGGCAGGAGTGGAAGGAGAGGTAAACCCTTCCATAAAGATACTTTTCATTTACCAGCTACCTAATTTTAATCTCTCAACTGCAGAATATCTCGGCTCACACAATGGTTTTTGGTACATTGGATAAGGGGGTCTTATGCTAAACCAGCGGCTCCCACCCTTTTTTTGCTGCAACCCTAAAATCCAGGTTGCAACCCCCTCCCCTGCTGCCAACTCACTCATGCCCAGCAGCGCCAGCAAAGCCTGGGCTGGGCCGGGATCATGGGAGGGCAGCAGCAGAGAGAGCTGTACAGACTGTGCGCTGGGAGAGCCCCGCAGGCAGGAGGGGTGGACCCAAAAACAGAAGAGTTGAACCAATTGCTCCACCCCTTCATTTCCTGGGATGAGCACTAAAAACTAATGGCATTTTTACATGTGTTCTGAGGGTGGGGGGAGGTGCTTTAAGTAGAGCAGCTCTCAGAGTCACTCCGATTAAAAAAAAATCCCCCACAGTGTCTTGTGTATCCCTGTGCTTCAAAACGGCAATGGGGGCGCTTTAACTGAAGTGCCCATACCTTCATTTCGAAGCGCAGGAATGCTAATACATGAGACGCGGCGGCTGCTGGAGACATGTTAATCAGCATTAGTAATTATAATGCGGCGCAGCCTCCCCACACAACTACAGGTACCCTGAGATTCTGAAAAGACTGACTCACAGTAGTAGGAGAATGTGATTAGATCAAATATGTCCTATTTCAAGCCAAGGCCTTCCTGATAACTTCCTTGGAGGATTTTATTTGGGAAATCTGACAGAGGACCCTTCTGAGTAGGTGAAGCTGAAACTAGTGACTTATGTGTAGGACTAATCAGCATAAAGCTATACCAATGGTGTATCTTAAAAGTGATCAAGTAGGGTCACTTGATTCAGTGGTCCCCTTCAGATAGCTGAAGGCATCAGCTTCCTTGTGAGGGGACTGCCATCCTAACAGGTGTTAACAGATCACATCAACTGTCTGCAAAACTCCTGGATTTTCTTAGCTTGCCCTTAGATTACTCCAAGACTCACTTTTTCACAAAAAATTCTGTGGCTTTAGTGACTGGATGCACTATACTGATGATCAGGGGTCAGCAACAGGCTGAATCTATGAGGCAGCCATTTTGCCCATTCAGGGGGCTTTGCTTCTGTCATCATGTGTCCAAGCAGCAGGGAGGCAGTAGAAGTACAAACAGCCAGGTGCTAGTACCGGCCTGCCACAGATCTGAGCTGGGTCACTCTGGCCCACCACTGAAAAAATACTGCTGACTGCTGATCAAATGTGATGTGAATGCTCCTATTTTTCATTTGAATATAAAGGCATCTCATTATATTCTGAAATAAGAATCAAGTCATTGTAAGGCGGGACCGGATTCATTTGAAATTTTGCAGACATACCACATTTAGCCTTGCCTACCTGAGAGAATTTTTGCCAGTTGTACCAGCAGAGCCTCTCTGTGAAACAATTATTCTAGAATAAGAGCAGTTTTTTGAGTTATGATTAACCAAGTTAAGATCAGAAGAGCATTAAACAAGGGGTTGAGCTTTACAGAACAGCAGGTGTTTGCTCCACAGGAACCGCCCACGTGTCCAGAACTTATTCCATAGTCAATGAAAACTAAACTGTACTAATTAAGCCCTCAAAAGAGGAGCAACTACTATAGGTCAAGCCCTGCCTTTTACTTCAGCCTAACTGGTTTCTGTTCTTATGCCCAAAGCCACTTTTATTCCAAGAATAAGAGTATCTATGGTGGAGTATATTAGTATAGGTTTAAAATAACACCAAAAGGTCTGTGTCTTTTATTGATCCTCGACAAGACAGGATCAATCAAATATGAAATAAACCTGCATTCTATAGGGATTAATCAGTAATTTTCCCCATTCTGTAGAAACAAAATAATCTAAGGGTCTCCTATACATTCCACACTCTCCCCAAGAATCACATTTCCCCCCTTTTCCTCTTTCTGGACAGTTTATACCATTAAGGGAACTACATGCATTTATTCCACCCAAGTCTCCCCACAAGCTGCCACCACACAGTCCTCCCAGGGTGATGCTTACTTCTAATCATTGCCAACTTATCTGGTCTCAGACTGCCCCCCTCCCGAGGCCAGCCTAGGTGCAGGTTTCTAGAGCAGCTCCCTAGCTCCTTTCCAGTCTGAGACCCTGGCCTTTCCATCTCTGACTCCCCCTGGTCATTTTGTGGCCCTGACTCAAGAAGATAGCTTTCAGTTCAGCTCAAGAGAGAGGAACTTTCTCTTTTGTTGGGGAGAACAAGTACAACCTGAAGTAGCAAAAGCAGACAGCTCTCGCTGAAGAAAATCAAGTCTCCAGGTTGTAGCCATATTGGTCTAGAGGAAAGATAAAGGCATTTATTGAGACAAAGGCCACCCGAAAGAGGTTCCATTTATTCCAGGAGGTTAAGGATTCCTTATGTCCCCCATTCAGACTGCACAGCTCTGTAGGCCCTAAGTTTACTGCAGCTCTTTTCTTCCCAGTCTCCCAGATCCAGAGAGCTCAAACTCCTTCCCTGGTCTCTGTCTTCAGATATTCCCTTTGAAGCAGACTCTGCTTGTTCCCCCCGTCTTCTCTATTGCCATGTTCATCTCAAATCAGCTTCCCTGGAGTCTCCTGGGTATAATAGGAAATCCCCACTTTGTTGAGGTCAACACAACTATTCAAATCTGTTGATGCTAGAGGTCCATATTGTCCCACACATAGACAGGGCTCTTGCTTCACTATCTTTTTAACACATTCCTTCCCCATGGCTAGCTATATGGGTACTGAAATGCATATTATAACCCATATACAAACACTTTTAACACTAATATAATAAAACCCACTGAACTGCCAGAGACTCTAGGTTATTTTTCCCAAAAAGGTACCAAAAGGCCTTAGCATAACTGTTAATTCTGCTAATGTCTGCAGAAAGCATCCCAAAAAATGAGACAGCGTGACACGAAAGGTTTTTTTGTTTGAAAATTGTTTAACAAAAGAGATAATAGACACTGACAGCGGGGCTGATAAGGTGGATTTGGTATTTCAAAATCAGAGAGACAGGAAAATGTGGAGAGAAAACTGGGGGAAAAGAAGAAGCAGCCAGAGGAATCTGATACAGAGCAAATGGAAAATTCAGAGCTCCCAGTAAACTCAATCCTGAAGTGTGACTCAGCTTTTCAGTGCACATAACTTGCACTCATCAGTTCAAATGTAAGAGTTGGCAAGTCTAGAGCCAGCAAAGCTGTAAAAATTTCATGCAAGTTGACAAGCAAGGTTTCTTTAGTAATATCTTTTATTAGACCAACTATATCAAAGAGATAAAGACATATTTGGGCAGACAGTACTCTTTCTGAACTCTGTGACCTAAAGCACAAACATTTATCTCAACTATACAGTTGGTTCAAAAAAAGATATTGGCAAAAATCATTTTTTCTTGCATATTCCCTGGACCTTCATGGTCTACAACTTTGAACCCAACTACAAAGATCATAAGAGCATCTAAGCAAGACAATCACCAGCTTAGTAAGGGAAAAACAAATATCAACCAAGCTGTCCTAGCTAAAATCAAAGTGTGACAGGGATATTAATTTGATCCTTTGAAATCTTACAATACTAAAAGCTTGCTGGAAGGCCAAGAAATGCCTAGGACTTATAGCTCAAGATGGTAACAACACACTACTACCATTTCAATATGCAAAAAAGTTCATGTTTATACGCAGACTCCCCCCGCCCCGAGCGCTCAGAACAAGGGTTAAAGGCCCCAAGTGTGATAACATTCTGAAAATTGACAGAAAATCCTGAGATCACCTGAAAAGGGGTGTATTAGGAACAGAAGAAATGTTACAGTGTCTACATTAGAGGGAGACAAGAATTTCTGTGGGTGACATCTTTTATGGTTGCACGGCTGGTGCGGAATGAAGAGAGGATTAGGGACCTGGGAAGCAAGACTTACAAGAGAAGACTGAAAGAACTAGGGTTATTTGGTCTGGAAAAGAGAAGACAACCTGGGGTGGGGTGACACTGATAACAGCTTCTTACAAAGATGATGTAAATGGGCTTTTCTTGGGGCTGTAGGGGACAGGACCAGGAACAATGACTTCAAGCTGCAGCAAAGGCAATTTAGAATGGAGATTAGGAGGAACTTTCTGACTATGAGGATGATCAAGTACTGGAACAGGCTAATTAGAAAAAAATCTCTATCCCTGAAATTTTCAAGGGCAGGTTACACCGATGCTCGGTTGGGATTGTTTAGTTAGGGATGTCTGGCCTTGAGCAGGGGGCTGTACCAGGTAAGATATATAAGCTTGTGAGGTCCCTTCTAGCCCTGCTCGCCTACAAAACTATAGTTGGAATGAAGGTAGACAGCCTTTCAAATGCAAAGCATTCATGAGATCAATACCTTCTTCCCCGTACACAGAACTACTGGTTGATGAGGATATTTAATGCTTGAGAAATTCAGGAACGTCCTCTCAAATCAGTGAAATGTAAGAACTCAAGTTTAAGCATATATTCCTAAGGATATAAGAAGTGTTGTTAGGACTCGTGCCATCCATAATCATTTGATACTGCTCTGCAGTTTGTTTTCATAGTTTCATAGATTTAGGGTCAGAAGGGACCTAGTAGATCTTCTAGCCTGACCCCCTGCCAGGGCAGGAGAACAACAAAACCCCAAAACAAGAAACGGGACTCAAATGAGTCCAGCCAGGTAGGCATCCAGCCTCTTCTTAAAGACCCCCAGGGTA